GCGGGCGGGAGCAGAGCTGGTGCCCGCGGAAAGGCGCTCTGGTGGATGGAGAGCAGCTCGCAGGAGTCCTCTGAAAACCGAAGTTTTGACGCTTGGCGTCCGGCGGAGACGCCGCGTGCCTGACGCGGGAGTGGTTTTGTCTCTTCCAGTTTCAGGTTCTCTCTGGGGTGTTGCCAAGAGATTAAAATCAAAACCGTTTGTGCCTTTTATTTAACTGGAAAGGCTTGGCTATACCTGTGTTATTGAATGGAACAAACAAATCCCCGGGCGCCTGCTGTCTGAGCTAGCCAGTCGGTGCAGGGTTGCGGGGGTGCAGTGTAGCATCGAAGAACAGCAAGGTGACTAAAAATCCCACGCTTTCCTGCTGTGAGAGCCTGGACGTGCGCGGGCCTGCTCTCTGAAGTGCTTTTCACGGTTATTCAAAAACCCGTTGAACGCTGGAAGCCCGTTATCCTGGGTGGCTGTTGACAGCTGAGTGCCAGCCTCCCGCGAACTGGTTCTGTGGGCAGAGGAGTCGGCTACAGAGCGGTGACAGCCCCGCGTCGGCGGAAGGAGTTGGTGTCCACCGCCCGCACCAGTGCAGGAGCTGTGCGATGCCTCTGCAGTCCCCAGGATGCTCCGCAGGCAGCGAGCTTCATCGCACCGATGGGAAACGTGGATAGCCTGTTTAGAAACCCCTCCTGAGGCGGTCTGCTTAAAACCCGCTCCCTGAACTGCGCTCTGCCCTGTCGCACTGAGGCGGGGAGGCTCCGGCCCGTGCTTTTCCCCAGGAAAGCGGCCTTCCCAGAAAGTCTCTCGGGTGCCGGAAAGTCTGCCAAGTGGCGCGGCTCCAGAATCTCCTTCTGAAGCCCGGTAACCTGAGCTCTGGTCCTGGTGCGCTTCATGGCGTGGAAATGTCACGCGAGCCCATGCTGCACTTTCTAGGCAACGTGTGGCGGCGGCAGCAGCGAAGGACTTGGCCTGGCACTGGGCCCTGGGGTTGCCTTCTGCGTCCCCCGAGTTCTCCTCTTCCAAGAACATGCAAATATTGCCAAGTACGCGTCGAGCCCAGGAGAGAGGGGCTCCAGCGACTCCGCTTGCTCTACACGGGTTACCTGTCAGTGGTACACTATAAGTACTCTGTCCTGGAAAGAGGGACCGTTCGTCTCTCCATG